CATGAAGCTAGTTTCTGGTGAAGAGTGTGGTGGTGCATTTGAGGTGTGAAGTTGACTAGATTAGGAGGACCTAGGGAACTGGTGAAGCATTATTTTTGGGTGGATCTGTGAGGTGTTTCCAGGGATCACTGGTGTGTGGGTCTGAGTGGCCCACACGGGGAAGACCAACCTCAGTGTGGACAGCACCGTCCGATAGGCTGGAGGCCCAGAGAGGACAGAAACAGGAAAGCTGATGGGCCTGTCTTTTCCCTGAGCTGGGAGACATCTTTCTCCCTTGGACGTCAGAACTTCAGGCGTCCCGGCCTTGGGACCCCAGGACTTACACCAGCACCGCTGCCCTCCCCGACTTCCCCTCCTCCTGGATTCTCAGACCTTCATCTCAGACTGAGAGTTTCACCATCTGCCTCCCTGATGCTGAGGCTTTTGGACTCGGACTGAGCCATGCTACGAGCATCCTAGGGTCTCCAGCTGGTAGACGGCTTGTTGTGGGATTTCTCAGTCTCCGTAAATTACGTGAGCCATGCCCCCTAATAAATCGCCTGCCCGCCTGCCTTCCTTCCTTCCTTCCTTCCTTCCTTCCTTCCTTCCTTCCTTCCTTCCCTCCCTCCCTCCTTCCATTCCTTCCTTCCTTCTCTCCCTTGCTCCTTCCAGCCACCCACCCATCCACCTGTCCATCCATTCATACATCCATCCATCCCTCCGCCTGAGCATCTGTCTATCCATCCATCTGTCTAAACTATCTATCTATCGATCTCCTGTAGCTTCTATTTCCCTGGAGAGTCCTGTCTAAACTCTCTGTCTATCTCCTATAGCTTCTGTTTTCCCTGGAGAGTCCTATTTCCCTGACTGATACAAAGAGCATTTTCTAATCAACAACGTCCTTTCAACAGAGTTCACACGCTTCTGTTGTTGGCCCTTTGGTCTGCTGCCTTACTCTACACGAAGTGTAGACATCTGAATGGGATGGACCTGATGGTGTCTAATCAGTGTCCCCTCTGAGTACCCCTGAAATAAAACCTTCCTGTTCATCTCTCTGTGAATACCTGTACCACTTACTACAAGACTAGAAGGCAATCAGGAATTCTTTTCCCTGCTCCCCATTTCTGAGTTTTTCATAATTTTTCACAAAGCGTTCATTACCTCTTAATGTAATCCAAAACCCCAGTCCCCCAGACGGTGAACTTCTCAAAGTCCTAGACCACAGCTCTGGCTGGTGGAGCTACCAAGCAATATCCTGAGTGAGAGTCTCTTCTCTTGATTGGGTCATCGCTAAGCAAACTTTTCAGAGAGTTCATTATCCTTTAGGCTCGGTAACTTCTGGCTGTTCCTTGTTTGCTGCTAAGTTGGCTGGTTTTTCTAAAAATCGGTCTGTTGTTTCTACACTTTTAGAAGAAGGCAAGACATGAACTTAATTGTCTTTTTCATCACTGTAGACCTCAACTCATTCCCAAGGGTGAAAGGGCTGCTAGAACATAGTTGACTTTTTCCGTTTAAAAGCGGAAGGCCTAGGTTCACGTTTCAGTCCAAGCCTGTGATCCTGGATGACTCTTGTAGTCTTTGAGCCTCATTCTTCCTTTTCTCGGAGTAAGACTAATGTCTTATGTGCCCATCTCCAAGTGGCTGGGAGGTCCAGTAAGATGGTGGATGTGAGAAACCTTTGTAAATTTGGAGCAGGCCTGACTTTTCATGGCTTTATCCTAGCACCTGCTATGTAAATATAGATAATTTTTAAAAAGTGCCTGGCATAGAGTAGAGCTCACAACATATTTGTCGAATGAGTGAAATCAAAGGTAGTTTTCCCATTTATAACTAATTGACTCATTAAATCTTTACTTCATTATTTACTGAACTTGATGTTCCAGCAAGTGGCCGAGCCCTGAGGGCTGTGTGGTCCTCCACGCCACTATGAGAATCTTTCTGAAATAAAGCTAGGGTGATGTCCATGGCCCCTCCAGAACCCCTCAGTTTACGTTGGATCGTAGCACAGCACGCGATCTACGGTCTGGCCTCTGCCTGTCTTCTCATTTCATGTTCCATTGTTTCCTTCCACATACCCTTGTTCTAGCCATGCTCACTGTTTTAAAAACCCTGTTGTTGTAAAATCTATTTACCAGAAAGTATATAAAATATGAGTATATGGTCAATGATTTATTATAAAGAAGCCATGTGTGTAACCACCATGTAGGTCAGGGGTAGAACCCTGTCAGCCCCAGAAGCCCCCTGCCCCTTCCTAGCACAGCCAAGGGTAACCATGGACTTGGCTCTGTGGCTTCGCTCACGTCCTATCCAGAAGCTGAGAGGGACCCACTGCGCCTTGGCAGCATCTGATGCTTGTCAGTGCCTTCACTCACTGCATTTCTCCTTCTCAGACTTTTTCCTCTGGTTGGCAACAGCTTGTCTCGAGGCCTGGCTCTAAAGTGACATCTTCTCTGCCTGTGCCCCTGCGTGTGCTGCCCCTCGTTCCCGGCTCCATGACAGCTTGCATTTGCCCTAGGCTGTAAAGCTCTCGCCCCTCCACCCCCGTCCAGCAGAGCTTTGGCAGCAGGGGGAGCGTTTTTCCCCCGGGCCCCCAGTATCCACTTGACATGTGGGACTTGAATGAAAATTGGAATGTAAGTAGCCACCTGTGGCTGCCGTGTGAAGCGGGGGTGCTGGGTGGGTGTAGGTGCTGATGGGTGTGTGGGGTGAGTTGGAGGGGGATGTGGAGCCAGTGAGAATGACCCACCTGTGGGCGGAGGGGTGATGTGAAGCAGGGGGAGAGTCGGGGAAGAGACCTGTGACCCAGACCAGGACGTTCTGTTCGCCTCCAACCTTTGAGTCAGCCCTCATCGCGTCCCTCATGGCCTCTGAGCTGCTCCTGTTTCTTACCTCGTCCCTTCTTCAGCCCATTCCTAGTGCCGTTGCCAAAGTTACCTCTTCAATCTCCTTAGTTTTTGCTTAAAATCCTTCCTGGACTTAAAAAAAAGAAAAAAAAAAGAGAGTCTTGTTCTGTTGCCCAGGCTGGAGTGCAGTGGCAGGATCCAGCTCACTGCAGCCTCGGACTCCTGGGCTCAGATGATCCTCCTGCCTCAGCCTCTTGAGTAGCTGGGACCACAGGCGGGCCCTGCCATGCCCGGCTAGCTTTTTACTCTTTATAGAGATGGAGTCTCACTATGTTGCCCAGGCTTGGTCTTGAAATCCTGGGCTCAAGCGATCCGTCCGCCTTGGCCTCCTAAAGTGCTGGGATTACAGGTGTGAGCCACCACACCTGGCCTCCTGGATGACTTTTCATTGTGGAAAATTCAACTTAAACTTTAAATCTTTCCGTTCCTCCCTGTTCATATTGAATCTTTGCAAGGAAATTATAAAACAAACATGATTACTGAGTACAACTTAAACTCCAGTTTCCAGCAAGTAAAGATATGAGTTCTCTTCTGTGTAGACTCTGCGCTTTTTGGCACTTGTGCTGCATTGCACAGCCAACTGCATTGGCCATTGTTCTCCTTATCTCTCATTCATTTATCATTTAGGTGTTCATCCCTGAAGTATGTTTTGAAAAAGAAACGTGTTCCAGATGATTCTGGGGGCTGAGGGGAATTCAGAGATGAATCAGATCCTGTCTCAGGGAGCTTATCACCCAGCACAGCTGAAAGTAATGAGAGGAAAGACGGTCGCCGGTATTTAGGAAGCACTTTTACTATGCCATTCACCCTACCGAGGGCTTTGCCAGTGTATTTTAAATACATTTAACAGCGCTTCCTTCTACAGTTATTTGGGTACTTGCCCTGTGCCAGGTACTTTGTTAGGTGCTGGGGAGATCACCTCCAACGAGATGGTCTCCTTTTCTTCAGGGGGCTTACAGCCTGCAGTGGGGGTCAGTGTTGAGGTGCGCTGCCATCCGCTCTGTGGTGGGCCATGTGGAGACTCAGACTCGGGGCTTCCACAGCAGAAGCTCGTCAGTCCTGGAGTCCGGCACGGACTTAGACCGCCAGCACGGTTGGGTTCTGGTGAGGCCTCTTCCTGGCTTTCAGATGGCTAAATTCTCACTGTGTCCTCACATGGTGGGGACAGAGGTCTCTCTCTCTCCTTATAAGACCACCAGACCTGTGGGATTAGGACCCCACCCTTAAGACCTCATTTAACTTTAGTAACCTCCTAAAAGCCCTATCTCTACATACAGTCATTGAGGTTAGAGCTGCAACACTTGAATTTCGGGGGGGACACAGGTCAGTCCATAGCACCCAGCTTTGGTGATTCAGGGAGGGTTTGCTGGAGGAGGTATCAGGAAGTTAAACCCCGAAAGATGAGAGCACTTACCAGGCAAAGGCAGGAGGGCAAGTGGATGGACAGGAAGCTTGCTAGAGGGCGTGGCACATGCAGAGACCCTGAGGTGACAGAGGGGCGATATGTTTGGGAAAGTGTCAGTCACCGCAGTATACATGCCAGTGTGTCACAGAGTGAGATGGGCTTCATTAGAAGGACAGGCGTACATTTCTGTGAAAGTTCCAAGGATGCCCCAGAAGGGAGAGGTGGCCGTTGGTGGCATCTTGAGTGTCAGGGATGTTGTGCGTGTGGGGATGCCAGCAGGGAGAGGCAGATTGCAGCCTCAGGAGGACTTTGACATAAAGGTATGGACGCAGGAGGGCAAGGGACCTCCATGGGCAAGAGTTCCATGTGGCGGAACACACTGCAGAATGAGGATGGCGCTCGTCCGGCAAGAATGTGGCGAGGAGTCCGTGTCAAGCCAGTGTCGGGTCAGCGTAGGGTCCGGTCCATATGAAACAGTCTAGAAACAGTTTTTATAAACACAGGATTTGTAGGCACTTCAACTTTTCGTTGAGTTTCCACTGCCCAAGTCTTAGCATTGTGTTTTTGTTATTATTGTTTTTTCCTTTAAGGAGCAGAAGTCCCTTTTTCATTCAGTTACTTGGTGATTAAAAACATGATGATGTGCTCTTGAGCCCAGGGGTAAACTTCAAGGTAAAAAAGTCCTTTTACCAGTGTATGTTTATTTTTTACAGATTATGATTCTGATGCGATGAGCAGCTCTTACGAATCGTATGATGAAGAGGAGGAGGATGGGAAGGGGAAGAAAACCCGGCACCAGTGGCCCTCCGAGGAGGCCTCCATGGACCTGGTCAAGGACGCCAAAATCTGCGCCTTCTTGTTGCGGAAGAAGCGGTTCGGCCAGTGGACCAAGCTGCTCTGCGTCATCAAAGACACCAAGCTGCTGGTAAGACATTTGGAATCGCTTGCATTTTTGTAAGATTGCTACACTCAAAAGTCATGGAGTTTATATCCAGTCACCATTAACATCAGCTGTGCAGGAAGGGCAGCGCTCAGACCTCAGCCAGGTACCCTGAGCTCACTGCAGTCCCACGCCGGGGGCCGCCACACACTGTCAGGGAGCACTCACCCGTGTTGTGTGTTCAAGGTTGCTGGTTTCCCAGCTCCAGAAGCAGCCAGCAGACAAAATCATTCCCATTCCTGGGGCAGTGCCTGTGGTTTGCATCTGTGGAAATGCACAAGATTTTAACTTGCCAGGAGTTGCAAGATGGATTTTCTCATTTGTAATGAGTCAGTGGATTCCTCAAAGCCAGCTCATAGAAGTGGGACGGGGAGCAGCCAGGAAAGGAAATTCTTTTGGAAAGCTTGGGGCCAATTTTTTTTTTTTTAATCTGAGAGGCAGAACAGGAAGACAAGTAAGGAACAGAGAAGCAGGGAAGGGGAGAACCTGGACCTTGCTGCGGGGTTATTCCAGTGGAGGCCCCAGCAGGGAGGCTGCAGCCCAGGAGGACGCTGTGTGGCATCCCTACCTCCTCCCTCCACCCCACTCCCTGTCCACCTTCCTTTTTTTCCTCCTGCCCTTTTTTAGAAACCATGGCTGGTTATTGGAATTATGAACTTTAAGAGTATGTTTTTGCCTTTTGTTCTTCCCTCAGATTAACCTTGGGGGAGACATTGCTGAAAATTACATCATTAATTAGAAAACGAGAATTTATGTTTCTGTAGAGCACTCTGTGGAACAGATAATCCTTTTTTTTTTTTTTTTGGTAAATCCAGGCTTCGTCTTTGAATTGTGGGAATCTTTTTTTTTTTAAACTAGGTTCCTAGGATATTATATATTTTTTAATGTTTTTGTTCAGTTTTTTAAACAGAGTACATATTTTTTCCACAAGTGTGGCCTGAATTTCTCCCAGATTTAGAACGTGCCAAAAATGATGCCATGGGGAATATTAAAAAATGAGAAAAAGAAGATTAATGTGGTCCTTATTTACAGTCTGATATAATGGCTACAAGATGTGGATATATTATATAAATGTTTTAGAAATGCATAATCAACTTTCATTTAAAAGAGAAGCTTTCAAATCCAGTGAGGGAAGCTTCGTGCTTGTGCGTAGGGATTAACGGTTTGGGGCTCTGAGTCCCTGGTCCCTCTCCCCTGCCCTCCTCTCCCTCATACCCTGACTTCTTCCCCTCTCCCCTGCTTTGTCTTCCATTTGGGCTCCTACCAGCTTTGCCCCTTCAAAACCAGGATGATAATACCTACGACTTAGAGTAGTTGTGAATATTTAAGAAGAAATTAGTGGACAAGCAGGTGAAAGCACTGTCTTTGGTCAAATGCAGAATCAAAGTTATTTTTATAGCTTTTTTCCTTTCAAAAATGACCTGTCATTCAGGGCCCAGATGACCCCCATTGGCATAAAAAATAATGAACAGTGATAAAAGCAAATGCTTTCCAAGTTTAAACAGCACAGAAAAGAAAAAGCCATGTTCTTCCCCTAAATGTTCCCAGTCTGTCTTCCCACAAGTTACCGCCATTAACAGCCTTTTTTATATCTCCTTCTGGAACTTGTTCCTTCTGTGCTCAGGTAGCTCTGGGGTGGGTACTGTGATGTACCCAGATTCCCGCTTCAGGACTGAAGGTCGCATTTCCTTGGCAGGGCTGGTGAACCCACCTCGGGGACTGTCTGCATTGAAGAGGGGCCTAGAGCTCCCTCCCCAGGGGTCTGCATTCACTGTGTGTGTGTGGGAGGTGCAGACCCAGACTCACTGGGCAGCTCTGATGGGGCCTTCCAGCCCCAGAGCTCTCATGGTGGTATCCATCCCTGAGGCCACTCAAACTGGGCATCTTTGCCCACCCCACTCCTCCCTCTCCTTGCTCCTGGTGGTGTGTTCAGGACGCCGGTCCATTAACCTCCTGCATGCTGCTGTCTGCTGTAGAGGCGGCTTCCCAGGAAATCCAGCCTGCTGGGACTGCCAGATTGCAGCTTGTCCTATTGCTGATAGCATATCTCTTGTGAGACATTTAACTTAAGGGGGAATATGTTATAAAGTTCCCTTTCTGAAATCAGCGTTCGTCCTCCTATTGCTGATAGCGTATCTCTTGTGAGACATTTAACTTAAGAATATGTTATAAAGTTGCCTTTCTGAAATAAGTGTTCGAGATGGTGGGCATGCTGATTACCCTGATCTGATTGCTATACATTTTATGTATCAAAACATCACTCTGTACCCCATGAATACGTACAGTTATTATATGTCGATTACAAAGGTTTACACAATTCAAAATAAAAAAATAAAATTCCCTTTCTGATTCCTTCCATTGTACGATTAGTTGCCTTTCACCTTTCTTTTTATATGTACTCAAAATGTAAAACATCTCAAATGGTAAACATTCATAAAAATCTGAGGTTAGTTGAGGTATTTTTTTTCTCCCTTTTCAGATCAGTTGAGTTTTTAAAAAGGAAATATATTTCTTATCTGTGTACTTCAAAGTACTGGATTTAGAACAGCAAAAGGGAAGGCCAGGCGCTGTGGCTCACCTGTAGTCCCAGCACTTTGGGATGCTGAGGCAGGCGGATCATGAGGTCAGGAGTTTGAGACCAGCCTGGCCAATCTGGTGAAACCCTGTCTCTACTAAAAATACAAAAATTAGCCAGGTGTGGTGGTGCACGCCTGTAGTCCCAGTTACTCAGGAGGCTGAGGCAGGAGAATTGCTTGAACCCGGGAGGCGGAGGTTGCAGTGAGCCAAGATCGTGCCACTGAACTCCAGTCTGGGCAACAGAGTGAGACTCCGTCTCAACAAACAAGCAAACAAAAAAACAAAACACACACACACACACGAAACAAACCAGGAAAGGACTCTAGAAATCCCTTCTGAAAATAGCTGTCTATTCATTCCTTCCTTCATCAGTGAATGTTTAGAGTCAAGATGCAGGCTCTGCACGTGCACAGTTGGGGCTGGAGTCCTGGTCTGTCGCTTTTCAGGTTGCCTGACTCTTCAGGCAGGTGACTTAACCAGCTGCACCCGGTTTCATAATCTGCAGAATGAGCCACCGTGCCGACTGAGGTGCTTGAAATGCCTCATATGATGTTGAAACTCAGCACTTGGTAGCAGATGTTATTGTTGCTGATAACTTAATTCAATAAAATAATAATAACTGCAAAACACGTTTTGCAAATGAGGAAACATACTCAGGAAGTTTAAGAAACTCCCTGGGCCAGGCACGGTGGCTCACGCCTGTAATCCCAGCACTTTGGGAGCCTGAGGTGGGTGGATCACGAGGTCGGGAGATCGAGACCATTCTGGCTAGCACGGTGAAACCCCGTTTCTACTAAAAATACAAAAATTAGCCAGGTGTGGTGGTGCACGCCTGTAGTCCCAGTTACTCAGGAGGCTGAGGCAGGAGAATTGCTTGAACCCGGGAGGCGGAGGTTGCAGTGAGCCAAGATCGTGCCACTGAACTCCAGTCTGGGCAACAGAGTGAGACTCCGTCTCAACAAACAAACAAACAAAAAAACAAAACACACACACACACACACACGAAACAAACCAGGAAAGGACTCTAGAAATCCCTTCTGAAAATAGCTGTCTATTCATTCCTTCCTTCATCAGTGAAT